CAAATTATGAAACAGATAATAAAACAAATTCCAAATTTGAGGTTCCAGATGCCTATATTTGTACACATACATTCATGTATGTATATTTCTCGCACTTCATTATTTAATTTCTTTAAGTAAAATGCAGGGCTCTAATATTTGGTCGCAACAATTTGAAAAGTAATATTCCTTATTGGCAAATTTCCCAGTTAGGCTAAAAAAAATCGAAAGATGGAAAATTATCGAAATGCGTGAAATGCAGTATGTTCAGTTTAAATGAAATATATTCATAAAAGATAATGTAATTTTCCTCATTTAAAACATTCCACAAAATTTTCCACATTTAAAACAACATAACATCGAGTCTAATAATAATTTTTTCTTTTCTTTTTCATTCGACGAGCTTAACAACTAACTATTCAGAAAAAAGGCAGACCTTTTCAAAGTTGTAAAATGATATTCTCTTGCCATGTAACTTAAATCAACGCTATTTACATTAAGATTTAGCTACAGCAGACCGATTATGCAATAGATTGTGAATTCACAGGAAGAATCTTGTATGTGGAATACTTTTTCACACAAAGCTAACTGAAGATAAGATAAAGTATCAAAAGTTATTTCGACACGCTAACAGAATTTGAGTCTTTTTTCACATTTTAGGATGTTGCTACATAATTTTGAATTTTAGAATTTCATCGGTTTATAGTTATTTTCTTAGATGACGTGCTTAATATTTTTCTCCTAAAAATGAATAATATGTCTAACAGTTATAAATCCTATTAATGATATAATAGAAACTGAGGATTTCCATTCTTTATTTTGAAGTATACAAAATTTCAATTTAATATACATATTTACGTCACTTTTATTTTACTGTTTTATAAAATTCTTTAACAGCAGTTTTAAGTTACTTGTTCTCGGTAATGATTTGATTTTTAAAACATTTTCTTAAAATTTGCAAATTATTTTACACATTTTATGAGCGATTTCGAACTCTAGCAGCTTAGTTAAGTGTTTTAATTAAAATTTTTAAAAAAAAAATTCTTAGTTATTCTTTTTTTTTTTTTTTTACTTCCTTGTACGAGATAAAGGAAGTATTGCAATCGCGAAAAATTTCGGGTATCATATTTCAACGAAAATATACATTTCAACTGCTCTCGAAACCATTTGAATTTGTCTTTGCATGCATCCGTACGTATGGACAGAATAAAGGGCAGTTTTTGCCAAAAATGATTGTGAAATGGATTTAAAATGGATTCAGAAGAGATTTTTTTCTTGACGTCTGTACGTGTGTACGTATGCATATATCTCTCATAACTCAAGACAGAATAGCTGTAGAACGTTGAAATTTGTATATGGGACTGCTATAACATGCAATTATGCACCGCCTGTTTTCGTTGCAATCGGCTGCACCAATCATATACATGTATTCTCACTCTGTTACCTGGCTCGGTGAGCTTAGTTTTTTTATTCTTATATGCTGGTAAATTGTGCATTTTTTGCCTTAAAGGTGATTGAACTATGTGATTTTTATTTTCCGGTTAAATGTGCATGAAAATGAATGCACATGAGAAGTTTATCATACACGTGAGCAGTTTAAAATGAAAAGTAGTCCTTAAAGTGTACAAGGCTTGTTACCGAGAGATACAATATGTTTAAATGTTAATCGCGTTTCAGAGACTGTATTTATATTAATGACATTGTTGTTAAACAACATCATAAAGGCGAAAGGCTTGCTGTTATCCTCGAAATCTTAATTTCCTTTCTCTCTCACGGGATTTTTGTTTCTCATGCGCAAATGTGCCTCCTGCCTAGCCTTTCCGAATAAATACTTACTAGTGTAATAAAATATTTAATCAACTTCCTTTTAACATTTTTGAATGCAGGAGGAGTATATACAGTCAAAATCCTCCACAACGAATCCTCGGATGTAACGAAATAAATTTTGGTCCCGTTCATTTCCTGTAATGTTATCCTCTTTAGCTATAACTAACTTTCAGTTGCAGGAAAATCGGATATTACGAACTTTACGGATATCTCCGATTGAAAGTTTTTTGTAGCTTTCACTTTTTTTTCCCAAAATTTTTTCAAGTTGTAAATGAAAAATTACTAACCATTATAATTATCCATGTTTAAGTTATTAAGGCAATGAAAACCTCCTTTACATTACTGCTGTGTTAACCCCTCCCCCGTTGATCTTTTTCTGTATACTAAAGAAAAGGCTATTAAAGGCAGATATAACACCCAGTTCGGGGAACACTAGACACACAATAAGTATGTTTTAAGACATTATATTGTGTCATGAAGCTGGTTATTCACGATTATAAACGCAGATGTTTCGATGGAAGAGTCTGACATTAGTCTTAAACTAAACAATTTATCATATAAAATTAGCAGGATATGATGAAACTAAAAAGGAATGAAAACAAATTTAATGATTACACGAATTAGTAACTACAATCAAACTAAAAAAAAAAAAAAAAAAAAGAAAAAGAAAAGGATTTAGATTGTAAATCTGAATGTATTTAGAGGGTACCAGAGGGTTTGTTGTTTTTATCCTCTCCCTCAGCATCGCAAGTATGCTGTAGGTCTCATTCCTACACACACAATTTGTTTTTGCCCTTTTATCTTTATTATTAAGCATCGTATTCTTCGCACTTGCGCCATATAAAATTCAAAATTAAAGTCACAAAATTTTTAAAAGCAGCATAGCAGCACTCGTTTAAAATTCCCAATACCGTGTATAGTTTTCTTACTTTCTTATTTTTTTAAGCCTTTCTCAGTTCATCATATCAATGATCAGTTTTCGTAATAAGATGACTTACAAAACTTTTTTGACTTTTTTATTATTGATTTTTTGTGTGTTTAACTTCATTATTAAATCTGACGTGTTTTGTATTTACGCCCCATAAAATTCGACTGCAAAATCTAAACATATTTAAAAAATCTGATGTGTACATCACATGACTTCCTTGTACGGAATATTAAATTATACGCATTTTTCTTGCATTTCATTTAACTAATTAGATTGAATTAAACCTACTTCGCCGACAGCGCATAAACCACAATAGAATAAATGCATTCTTTAAAATTCACTTTGTTTACCATAGCGACACTCTGGCGCTAGGTTTACTTAACAGTATTATATTTCGTTCATATTATAACTCAGAATGCACAAAATTTATATCATTTAAAGAATTATCTAATCGTTGCCACATGTTCTATTCAAATACTATAAAAAAGCTAGAACGATGTATAAAAGAAATTAAGCAAACAAAACGAAAAAGAAACAGTTTTTCTCAGACGATTGAGTATTTCTCATTCAATTCCTTCAGTTTTCACTTCGCGACAAGGCAAAAATACATTGAAACTGAAAATATCTGTATTAAAAATTACGAAGTAAATTTTAAATACTTATTTCCTCGAAAAAATTCCAGAAAGGATTAAGCATGATTTAATTCGCAATAATAAATGAAGGCGTTATTTTTGTGTTGCGAAGCTTAGTGTCTCTAGATTGGCAACAAATCTACAATTCTTTCTGTTTCAAATGTAAACAAATATGTCCCCCATGTTATTTAAAACTTAACCGCACTTAAGCAGCTTTTAAATTGTTCATAATTGTACAAATATTGCTTCGAGAATTACGAAAGGCATAAAAACCTTAACCGGAAAATAAAAACAACATAATTCAATCATTTTTAAAGCAAAAAATGTACAATTTACAAACATATAAGAGTAAAGAAACTGAGATCACTGAGCCGGGTAACAGAGTGGATATATTTATAAATATATTTACATACGTTTGGCGCGGCCGATTGAAACCAAAATACGAGGTGCACATCTACATGTTATAGTAGTCTTATATACAAAATTTCAACGTTCAGAGGCTACTCGTTTTTGAGTTATGCGAGATACGTACGTACGCCCTCACGTACGTACGTACGTTCGTACGCACGTACGTACATACGTTCGTACCGACGCCACGAAAAATTCTCTTCAGAATTCATTTTAAAGCAGTTTTTTAGTTTTTTTTTGGAGGAAAAGAGTCTTTTATTCTGTCCTTACGTATAGATATTACGCAAAAACATCGTTAAATTGCATTCGAAAGCGGTCAAAGTGGATATTTTCGTTGAAATATGCTACCTGAAGCTTTTCGCGATTACAATACTTCCTTTTTACTTCGTACAAGGAAGTAAAAATTCATTAAATTTATACAAAATGTAAACTGAGCAAATTCGAAATTCAAAATTCGCGTTTTAAGATGCACATGATCGGTAAGAACACTATGAGTCTTCCAAACTTGTCTTTAGGTGCCGCTATTTTTCCATATGTATCAAGAATTTGAAAAGTGATTCGACAAAAAGTGAGTTTAGAAACTAATAGCACCTCTGGTACTAATAAGAGTTATTATTCTTTTCTTTTGACAGATGTAACAAGGCCAGTCAGTTTTTTTTTCGTTTGTTAGTCAATTTACATACTTTTTGTTTATAAAAGAATCGATTTTTATCTTGTTGGATACAGGGAATGAAAGTAGCGGTCTTTGAAGTTCGTAATAATGGAGTTGACTGTATTGAATTTATTATGATTTTGTTTCATTTATGATTTGAATTTAAATAAAAACTACCCATTTTTTCATGCTGATTGACAGTGGTATCATTCATATACGTGGATTGTTTAAAAGGATATTTAAATAAAAATTGCTCTATATTTTTGCAAAAACCTTATGTAGTCTAATTCGATTTTCTCTCAATTCACTCTTGAATTTATGATTGTTTTACAATGATCTAAGAAAACTCTTCAATATTTTTCTCTTTTTTATTAATTTTGAGGAATAAGTGAAATCCCTTCAACGAAGAACTAAGCCAGAACTTTATGCAAGGAGAAAGCAAAACTCCCCCACAGGCACACCATCCGAAAGTCAGGGCAGAAAGATCCTCGAGGAAGAAGAAGCAGAGGAGAAAGCCTAGAGAAGGGGCTGGCATTCTCCCAAAGCTAGAACATGACACGCTTATCTTTATTTGGGCGCGGGAAGGCGCTGAAGTTAGTCGCTCTTGCTAGTTCCTCTCGCAGCTCTGTCCCGTTCTGTTGTGTGCGAAACCCTCACCTTTGCCTATGCTCCACTTACGAAGAAAACAAACTTGGCTCTCTTCGTTTGTTTCTCCATTGCACGTTGTTTTGCTTATTTTTTGTTGGACTTCCCTATCTTCATCTAAAGTTTTATGCCCGAGGATTATGTGAGGAAATGAAATAGTAGAAGATATTGTTTGATATTTTAATTATGCCGTTTTGTGGAAATCTTCATCCATGGTAGGTTATTGTTTACATTTGGATTTTAAAAATAATTACTGTGGTGAAATCGTATATTTGAAAGGTGAATTCTGTAAATTTCATAATGAATAATTAACGCGTATTTTGGTTAAATTGTCAACCGTGAATCAAAAATTAAGGAAGAGCTATTTGGTATATGCAAATGTTGCGTTTGTTACGTTCTTAAACACAGGAAAGGAAATATTCATCTTGGAAGTATTTTTAAAAACATTTACTGCGGCTGGAAATAATTTTTAATCACATTAAAATATTTTTTATTACGTAAACTTTTAAAGAACTATGTGGTATCCATTTTAATTAAAGAATTTATTTAAGAAGATATTTTTCAGGTGAAGTAAAGTTATTCCGTAGATATACGAAACATATCTTCCATCAAAATATATTCTGGATTTATGGTTGCATACATGTATAATGTGTATTAAGTAATTTAAGAGAAATTTAGGAATGAAGATAAATCAAACTTTGTGGATTGTGAAGATATTATCAATCAAAGAAGATTTTTTTTTCATACAAGTACTCCATTTCTGTAACTCAAAAAGAGTATAAATTTTAAATATTACAAACGAGAGTACCTGAGATAAAAGCTTCTTTTCATTCGTAAAAGAATTCGGTAAAAACACTTTTTAACTACAAGTGAACACGTTTAAACTTTTTATGTCTTTATAAACGTCCATCTTGGTAGAGAAAAAAAAATCTTTTCGCGATAAATCTTCTTTCTGAAAAGTACCATTTATTTTTCAGCGAGGAAAGCTTCTTAAGCTGCCGTAAATCGCCTAAGATGCTCAAGGTACAGAACCTGACAGTTTGACTTATTTTCAAAAGAACAATGAGCTCATTATGCCCCACAACAAGAACAACACAGGGAAAGATGTCCCGACCCTTGTAAACACAAACCCAAGTAGGTAGGAAGGAAAAGTGATACAACAAAGATAGTGTGCGGCACTTCAAATATCCAGTGAATCGTGGTTTTGTGTGAAAAAAAGAACTTATTTTCGAATATGGAAATGAAAGTAGCCCTTACAAGGACTGCGACAGCAACTATGTGGACCATTTCGGGATGCCTTTTGATGGTAGCCGCCTTAGTGGGTGGGTTTAACATCGACACGAAGAGTGCCGTGATACACAGAGGCACAGCGGGATCCATGTTTGGATTTTCCGTGTCACTCTTCAGGGACAAAGGAAACAGTTGGTAAGTTTGATATACTTCTCATAATGCATGAAATATCGTTTATTTATATGTAGCCACATAAAAATTGAAGCAGATAAAAGAAACTTCAGCGACTTAAGCCTATGATCAAATATCAATAAGGCTGTAGGAACAGCATTAAAAATGATGAAATATTTAAATTAATCCCCAAGTTTTGTGGTATCTAAAGTGATATGGGTAATGTTTCCTCGTGGCATAAAAAAACAAAGGGAAAATGTGATATATTTATTAGATTTTAAGAATGCATTCCATAATCATTTACTTACTAAGAACGTTTTTGTTTGCTTGCTTATTTGAATACGGTAAAGCTATTTTCCGAGAAACCTAGTGATAAATAAATAAGCAAAACAGAAAGCATGTGACAAAACATAAGTACTGTTTGTTTTATTTACAGGTGGTATATATTTTATTCAAAAATAAATAAATGAAAACATTTGAATATATATGATTAAGCGAAAGACAAATAATATTCACAAATATAAATGGTTAAAAAATAACGTAATAGCGTAATAATTGCGTAAGCATAAATTTAATACTTATTTGTAAAGTTATAAGAATCTCTTTTAGGTATATTTATGGGCAATATTATCGTTTATAGCAGAAATTACTTATGCAAATGCTATAGTAAAAGATGTAACATTTTAAATAAGTATAAATGTTTAAAATGCAAATAAAATGACAATTATAAATGCTGGCATAATTAATTGTAAAATTAGAAGCCTTCAATTATTCAGTTCAAGTTCATTTTTTCTTATATTTTTGTTTCATTGAACAGTTTTATGAATTTAATTATATGTACATGTAAATAAAAAAGCGAAAGCTCAATATCTGAGTTTATTTAAAAGCTTTAAATCAGTACTTGATTATAATATATTTTACTAACACATTAATTTCGATCCCTAAATTAATGTATTAGTAAAAGCTATTGCTGAAAATACGCGTTATACAGTTGAAGAGCTGTCAGACAATATTACAAAGTATTAATATTACAAAATGTGCAGTATGTAATCATTTGAAGACTGGGAATGTAAGCTGCTACGATGGTAAAAGCTTTACCATGCTTTAAGAAAGCAAAACATGTTTGCTCTTGTTTTGGCATGTCATTCTTTGGTTAAAAGAAGCTTTTTTTTTTTTTTTTTTTTCCTAAATAGCTCGTTACTGGAGATGAGAAGTACCGTACAATAATGTTGCAAGAGAAAGATTATGGGGTAAGACAAAAGAACCTTCCTTAAAAACATCGAGAAGGAGGGTTGTAACCTAAAATAAGTAATGCTTTTTGATGGGACTACAAAAGAACTGCATATTATGCGTTATTGCCATCAAATCAGACACTAAATATGGAAAAATACCGTCAATTTTAAACCCAAATGGTAGTACTAAAAGCAAAAATCGCATCAAAGTGCCCAGAGCGGAACTTGATTACAATATATTTTACTAACATATTAATTTAATAACACCTGAATAAAAGTGAGAAATTATAATAGAATAATTAAAAGAAAAATAGTTATGAACTGTCAAATTCTATCAGCTATAACATTTTCTCATTCAGTGATGAAAAAATTTTACAAAACGTTTACTTCCAAGTAATTGTTTTTAAAAGAATTATATATATGCTTATTTCGAAAGGCATATATATATATATTTCTTATTGTAACTGTGGGTTAGTTACGTTATTTGAATACATCAAACCATTCGAGGAGTTCCAATCTAAGTGAAGAGATGTCTTCATGGAATATTATTTAAGAAACAATGGTTCGTATTCACGTTACACGTGAAAAGACCCCTACGAAGATTCCCATGCAGCTAGCTCGTTATCCGGAATTTGAACAACTGAAAGTGTTCAGTAAATGTGGCGTAAATTGTCCAGCAGTCATAGAATGAGTGGAATTATTGAGCAAAGGTAGTTCAAGCCGGATTTTGTTCTGAAATGACGAATGCATTAGGATATTTTATTTTTGTCCATTTGTAGCGTGAATAAGAGTACTTTATTCGCAAAAAGGTTTCTACAAAGATATATCAATTAGATACATCAATACAAATCTGTCAATTAAATACATTATTAACAAATGAAGTAAGAATTTACTAAGATATGCATTTATTGCTTTCAAAATCCTACGTTTTTTAAGCAGTTATAATTTAAAAGATAAAATTAAAGATTTTAAATCGCATCAAATGCTTGAATTCTAATAGACTATTTCCATATCACTTGATCATGCAGTGGCAAAATGTGCCAACTTACGTGAACGATTATCAACAGACTAACGTAATTGCCACAAATTTGAAGTGACTTTTCTAAGCACGTTTATGATGACCAAAACTATAAGTGGATAAAACAACATTTTATGTAAACAAATGAAGTCTAAACGTTATTCTTGAACTGACGCAACACTTACAAAGAACAGACTATAACATCTTCCACACAGAAGAACGTGATCTCTGAAATATTTGTGAACAATTCTGAAAAGGAAAAAAAAAAAATTCAATGCAAGACAAAAGGTATTTAAACGCCAATTACGCGTCTCTCTATGTAATAATGCATTTCAACGTCTTCAAAGAAACGAAGATATTTTATTGATATCATAAAAATGACAGAAAATGTTTTCTCAAACAACATAATCAAATTAGAGAAGTTAAAGTATGACTTCAGTGTTTAAATAATGTGATAGTTTTCTTTCGAAAATGCTCTTTAAATATTTGCTATAATAAAAATTACTATAGAATATAAGGGAAATGTAATCACGCTAGCTACTGATTTAGGATAAGTATAAGAATTTTTCGAGTTATCGAAGTTGAAAGATTAGACAAATGTTTTTAGAAACGAATATTGATATATTGTGATGGAGTTGAGATTTAATAGTTGAATTACTAATATATTGTGTTACTTTTGAAAAAAAAAATGAGTCAGAACGTATATAAAAATTGATTAGGACATTTTTTGTGTATTAGTTTCTGAATAAAATTTTTGGTAAGAGAGGTATAATCAGAATTTCTTGGAAAGTATGAATAAACTTTGCTATTTTCAGCTCAGAATGAAATACATACAATGATGGCATGTAAAAATATGATAAAATAATTAAAAAAAAAAAAAAACGCGTAAAGAGGAATTTTATATTAGTATCATTGGAAAGGAACGCCATCATAACGCTGCCATGTTATAACAGCCTGAAACTTTATGAAAGTCAACCACTGTTTGAAAGGACCGTAACCTTCATAAACGTATAAGCTCTCTTCCTTAATATCAGTTTTTTAACTTGAAAATACCAGCCTTCATTTGGGTACTGATACTTTTATGTCGGAGCACGCTATGTAAATAGAATTTCGATTTGCTTTATTCGTGAAAATACCCCTAAAAACTACATTTCCTCGACGGAATCCCGTACGCACCTTTATGAAAGTTGTTTTAGTGTTGGAAACTGATTTGTATAAGAGTGTGAGCACCTTTATGCCGATGCGCTTTTATGAAGGTTACTGTCTCTTCGATCGTGGTTACTGTCTCTTTATAGCCTTGTGCCGGAGCATCATTATGCAACACTCTGTTTGTAACTTCTATAAAAGGGCCAGCGAAGCTATGCAGAAAACAGTGTTCTTATAATAAAATGCTGACACCGTTTTGCAGAATAGCCCCTATTTGCATAAATGTATCATTATTGTAAGGAAGTGAGTTTAAATAAATGCACCTAATTTTTTTTTTTTTTTTTCATCTTTTGGGAAAAATATGTTCAGAAAAGAGAACTGAAGCATTATTTGCATAAAAGCTCAAGTTATGTCTTAGAATAATTTGCATCCTTACGCAAATCGTTTATTTTGCATAAAAACCCGGTTTCTTAAAACCTGGGCACCACTGTGAAAGCTTTTGCACATGCGTGGGCAAACGTCATAAAGGAGTCAAGCTCAAGCCTAGGCACTGTTATGAAAGCATTTTGTAAGAAACTTAAGAAGTAGAATTCCTGTTGGCGAATAATATGAGTATTATTAAATGTTTATTGTTTTTTAAGCACTTACCTTTTTTTTACTTTAAAGTGCAATGCACTGGAACTGGGAAGGTAAACCAAAGCTTGTCTGTTTCGTGATTTGGATTTGATTTTGAGCTTTATTTGACGTCTCAGGTGTGATTTTCTTCGCAAAGTTAAAACAATAGCAATTTTTTTCAGGTGTTGAAAATTCAACAGTATTATTTTGTAAAAAAATTTTTTGCACGATTACAATATAAGTAAACACTGTTAGAAGTTTAAATATCATAATTCTGCTTTAAATACTTCTTTAAAGTTTTTCTGCAAATGAATATGAATGGTAAAGCCGAGACCTTTATTTTCCCTGTCCCCCCCGACTTTTAAATTAACCTTTTAATGAACTGTTCAATAGATTGGCCATTTTCTCTCTACCAACGCATTTAGTTACAGTTAAGAGTTATTTTTATAATTTCTACTCGATTATTATGCACTTTACAGAAGGAAAAGAAATATGAGATTAAAGTAAAGTTTCTCTATGTTTCTCTTTCTCTCTTCTTTTTTTTCGGGGGGGGGAGAGCATGTTCTTATATGGAAATGTTCATATTTAGCTCTACTTACTGTCTTTTCATTATGATCTCACCTACGCTGTGCATGCACAAATCTATTAAAGTAGATTAATATCTGATATATAAATATATGTAGCTCATAAAGTTGTTGTACTTATCTCACTTATCTGACAGTAACACCAGGGCAAGCCCACGAAATTAATCGTGGCAAGGAGAGCAGGACTGCGCCTGTCGTTGGCAAGAGCCTTCACAGCACCATACAGGTGAGAGTATGACTTCGCTCAGTTCCGCCTGAAATTTTGTTGGAGAGTACTCCTGGGGGATGGGTCTGACGGTCTCTCAGCCCCCTCTTCTCCTACCATCAAACCTCTCAAGAGGACTCTCGGCTCGACATATATGTAGTGCTCCCATGCCACAAAGACACTGTACATTTACAAACATCCGTGCCTTCTCCGGGATTCAAACC